TGCTGGAGGATCTGGGTCTGTCCACGGTGGACCGGTCTCTGCTGGAGTCTGAGCTGAAGGAGGTTCTGGTGAACCTGCATGAGTTCATCTGGTTTCACCAGAATCCGACCCGGTGGCTCCGATGACGAGCATCAATAACAACTCTATAGAAACAGACCATCTTCTCTCTGATGGTCTAATAATCTCTAATAATCTAAAAGCAGTCTAAAATGATAACACAATCAAGGTGCATTAAACAAAAAATGAAGGGTGAACAAAGCTGTTAACAATTGTTTGCTTCATTTTATTTTCAGTCTCTGGAAGAATTCTCGGAGCTGAGTTAGCAAGGAAACAAAAAACAGGGTAAAAAACCTTATACCTTAAAAATACAAGATGACTTTTTAGTTTCACTAAATGGCCTCTGACAGGTAAGCCAAAGTTCACTTCTCTGTCAGGGAACTGGAGGGGGGGAGGGAGTCACACCCGCAAACAACCAGCATGACTTTCCACCCTCTGGGGGGGAAGCGGGGGGGGGGGGGGACCTCCACCTTGCACCATGGAAAACAAGTGGAGGCCTTACGTCACCTGCCAGCAATTACCAAGAACAGGTGCTGTGACCTCACAGGGCAGCGAGCGAGGGGCCCCCCGCTTTATGGCAAACATCAGTCTGGTTGGTTCCTGAGAAGCTGAGCAGGTAGAGATTCTGGCTCTTTGTGATACTCAATATTCACTTTGCTCCTCTTTGAAACTCTAGAAATTTCAGCTGGCTGGAAGGAAAACACCAGTGACCTTAAGATGAAGGCCACATAAACCGGTTTAGAAGCAGAAGATAAATCCACGATCCGGCCAGTTAATAAACACAACAAAGCATCTCAAATCCCCGCGGGGGACAAACTATGAACATGTTTGTGTGCTCAGAAAACAAACGGTGAAACTGGAACAGTGTTGACAATCGTAATTATTGTGGCCTGTGAAAGCTGCGATGGTATCCCCTGCCTCTTGACAATAAGTAAAAGCCACACAGATGTGAATTACTCCACAAACCTTTGGCTAATCTTTCAAAGCCCCCGCGGCTGAAAGAGGGATTTACAAATTCAAGTCAAACAGAAGCTGACAGCAGGCCGACACGTACTGTGCCCCTCCTTTGTGCTTTGACAATGTCCTACAGGTGGGGACACAATGGCTGGACCACCTGACATCCTGTGGCATGAGGATGTCTGAATACGTGTGTGTGTGTGTGTGTGTGACTGTAGGTGTTTATTTGTGACACAGAAAGAGTGTGAAATGACTAAAGAGAGCTAACTGGAGCTAACTTCCAACAAGGGCTGAAGTGAAATGTCAAAGTTTTAAAAGCCAGTGATGGTCCAGCAACTGAACTCAGTTCATACCAGAGCTTTTTTGGAGAGAAATGAAGTAATGGGCGAGACAAATACCAGACAAATACCACGTAAGAACAGACGTCTCCTCATATAATGGTTTAATATGATATTTTATAAAAAGTTATTTGTTATTTTTTCCGGCAACACAAGCAATCGCATTGTTTAGACAACAAAACTGCTAGTTTAGGTTTACGTAAGTACAGAAGTTACGTACAAATACACACCAACCTGTCTGCCGGCCCCCATGCCCCCCTCCTCCCTTCATCCTACAGCCCACCTCAACCCCCCCCCCCGGTCCCTGGGAACAACCCTGCAGTGTCAGGGAGCTGTGCAGGTGTCTTGCGGTGTCAGCTGCCATACTGTTTATTATTGGTGGGCAGCGCTTTAGGAGGAATCCCGGGCCATCACTAACAACTGTGTAAATTTGTTGGGGTAAGGAAAACACGGCCCTGTACTACAGGAATGTTTTTAGGTGGGAGCCCCGCTTTTCTGGCAGGCTT